ATATATATATATATATATATACTTATTACCTAGTTAGCTAGCTAACTAGCTAACTAGCTAACTAACTAGCTAACTAATATAATTATACCCATGATACAGCATACACTCCTAACACTACTGATACAAACCCTAACAAACCCTAATAAACCCTAAACCCTAAAAATGCTTATTTTATCTGTTGTGTTGGTCATTGGTCATTAGCGGCAGAAATTTGATTCCCATTCAAACCCTAAACCCTACGAAACCCAAATTATATCATAAACCCTAAACCCTAAACCCTAAACCCTAAACCCTAAACCCTAAACCCTTTATTTTTCTTACCTGTGCCTCTGTCATCTCTACATTGGCTACGGCTACACCCATACAGAGCACTTTTTTGAGTTGAAATTTGACGGAGGATCGGACTTCAAGAATTTTATCTTCAATTTTATCTTGATGAGTAATTAGTGTTGGGAATTTTCCTGCTTTGTTTAGACCAGGACCTAAATAACGAGGTATCTGTGGTATTAAGGCTTGTGATGCTAAAAACGCGTCATATCTATACACACCAGCAGCAGCAGCAACAACACCAACAGCAGCAACAGAAACAGCAGCACAATTATTATCATTAGGGAATCCAACAGCAGCAACAGGTGTAGCAGTATGTCCTGCAGTGTATATATACACAGATATACAAAATTGCTGCAAGGATATGTATATATTGTATATATAATATATCCATTCCTTTCTTATTCAATTATAATTATATACATGTAAATATTATATATAGATATATATATGTATACATATACGTATAGTAATTACATACTTGCGTGCCAACTTCTTGACGATCTTTTTATTTTTGTTAATCTTCTTGAGGGCCTCAATGTCCATACAGTCGAGGCCTAAAGCCTTTGCCTCCTCCATATGTACGGCATCGCCAATCACACAAACCTGTAAAGAGAGAAAAAAAAAAAGGGAAGAGGGGAGAATATAAACACTATAACAATAAGAAAAAGGAAAGAAAACGCTAAAGAATAATGCCCATAATGATGGCATATACACAAGAAAAGAGCATAAAAAGAAGAAAAAATGTATAATATATTATACACCTACCTTGGACTTGGCACGAGGCACGTGTGGCAGACGCACAGAGCCAGAGAAACGCTTATCTCTCTGGGTGTCATAGTCCTTTAAGCCTGCGGAAGAAAAAAAAGAAATAAATGCATGCAAGAAGCATAATCATGGTGCTGAGCCCATAAAAAGGAGAGGGAAACGTACTGCATGCAGCTATACTAGGCGACAACCGGAATAATAAACGTACTGATCTGCAACTCAATGGTCTCCACAAACTTCCTCTTCTTCTCCTGCGACCCCTTCAAAATGGAGGCAATGGCCGCGTTGAGGGTCTCCTGGCTTAGCTTGCTGCGAACACATTCAAGAAGAAAACACGCAAATGTGTACATTAATAGCTTGCACTGCAAGAAAGCTTATTCATACTACGATAAAAAACACAAAGAACCTGACATGTTCGCACGGCATGCCAAGATAAACTGCTTTATTCTGCAACGCATCGCAATGCATCACTAACATTTCAGCTGCATGTACACCGCACATGCCAACAACACGAACGGGAAGCTGGAAGTAGGTATAGGGGACACCGAAGAAAGCCAGTCAATGCGAAACCCTCTCTTTCGCTACGTTTATAATTTATTTTATTCAAGAAGAGGAGAAAATTCATTTGCCATAAAAATGCCGCTTTCTCGCTACCGAAGATATTGTACAGAACCTCTTGATGGTATAGACATGATGATGAAGTTGGGTGTGGAAACCCAGGGAATGTTCGTGTTTTTCTTGGACATTTGTGCATAATTATTCATAAAATTCCAATTGAAGAGTTGAAATCATGAAATTGATGTATTCTTAATGGAGGATCACCCCACCATTATGCAAATGCTGTAACGATAACATGACGGGCGTACCTCATTTTGGTGTATTTAGAAGCAGCCGTTCGACACAGAGTCCTGAAGATCCCTCCCGAGGCTTAATTTGCTCGGTTTTGTTGATTTTTCTTGGAATTCCCTGTTGATTGTATTGTTGGTATAGGTATATACCGTGGGGTGGGGCGCTACTACGGCTGCAGCCCCGCAGCTCTGTAGGTCGTCAAAATGGCTGCGGCTGCGATGTGGGGGGAGAGAGAGGCCGTAGTGTAGTCTGCATGATGCATGAGGATGATGAAGTTGGCGCAACAGTTGTTCGTCTTTATGAGGATTTTTGTACATTTGTACAATATCTGAATTCCTCTTTCTCCGTAACGGCAGCTGCTGCGTGGATCATTTTTTTCCGCTGTTTCTCTTCGATATCCCTCCCTCCGTTGGGCAAGAGCAGCCATAAATAAGCAGCAGCAGCAGGAGAATCATAATTAAGCAGCAAAAAACAATTTGCTGCAATAAATTTATTGAAGATGTCGGACACAAAGGCACCATTTACAGTACGTATTCGTAAATTATTAACAAATCCTTTGTTACAACGTAAACAAATGTATGTAGATATATTACATTTAGGTCGTGCAAATGTAAGTCGTAAAGAATTACAGCAAAGATTAATGCAACAATTTAAGGTACAGGATCCTAGATGTATTATATTAGGTAATTTATCTACAGCATTTGGTGGAGGAAGGAGCAGAGGACAGGCATGGATATATGATGACTTTAAGGCTGCACAAAGATTTGAGCATCGCTATCGTCTTGTTAGGATGGGAGTCGCAGAGGCTCAGCCTAAGAAAGGAAGGAGAGCAACTAAGGAGCTTAAGAATAGAAGAAAGAAGGTAAATAAATATATTTCTTTCCTTCTTTTTCTTCTTTTTTATTATTATTCATCATACATACATATATTTATGTGTATATATATTGTTCCTTATAATAATACCCCTTTATTTATTTATTTATTTATTTATTTACTGTAGGATTATTGTGTGTATGTTTATGTGTATGTGTGTGTGTGTGTGTGTATAAGGGAATATATGTTTTTATTGTATACTTTTGGGGCTTTATCTCTGCATGCATTTATTTGTTTTAATTGTATATATATGCATTAATAATTAATTATATTATTACTACTTTATGTCTTTTATTCTTCTTTTCTTGTTTTTTTTATTTATTTGTTTATCTACAGGTGCGCGGCACAGAGAAGGCGAAGACACAAGCAGCAAAACAAAAGTAAATATAAAATTAATTTCTTCTCTTCTTCTGGCGGTTTATATCTTCTCTGCTCTTTTCTTTATTACCTAATAGACCTACAGTACCTATTTAATATCCTATTACTGGAGGTATATAGGTATAAAGAAACAGCAGCAGCAACAACAACAGCAGCAGCAACTGCAGCAGCAAGAGTTGCAATAACAGCAGCAACTGCTGCTGCAGCTGGCTAGACACCTCAAGGGCAAGCAGCTAGCCATGGCTGCATGCAACGCCGTTCTCCTTTTCTTACCAACAGATATCTACTAAGATCATTTCGTTGGGAACACAAGCATAACGCATGCAGCATATTGCTGCAGCAGCAGCACCAACAGCACCAATACCAGCAGCAGCAGCAGCAGCAGCAGCAGGATAGGCAGTTATTATTTACTCCGAGTTCTTGTTGCTTTTTCAGTAGAAGACACTAGTGCAGAAACAGCAGCAGCAACAGCAGAAGCAGCAGCAGCAGCATTAGTCTTGTCTCTTCTGTATCCCTACTAGGTGTGTGTGTTGTATGTGACTACACGTATAGATATGTACGTGGGGTGTACAGGCACCTCAATCATAGATTGTGCCTTCCTTGTTGTTGTTTTATTGTTATTATGTTAATCATAAATAATAATAAATTGTGTTGTAAACAGCAGGAGAATAATGGAGGGAAGAACATAAAAAAGAAATATTCCCTACATATTGAGGTGTATATACACCTCAATTCTGCTGTCTTATCAGCATCTAGGCCGTATCTATAGAGGAAATAAAATTTTATTTATTAATTAATTGTTTATTATTATATTGTATTAAGAGAGGGAAATTGTCCTTTGCTGCATTTCTTTATTTATATAAAAAGGGCGTCTATATTCTTGCATGCATGCATACATAGCAGCAGAGTTGCATGCGCTGCGCTGCAGTCTTATCATCACAAAAATATTTATTTATTTACTAATTATTCTTCCTTATAAAAAAAAAAGATAAAAGAAAATAACATAATAATTCATGTTATAGTAAAAAATATTAATAAATAATATTAATGATGTTATTTGTTATTATATTCTTTCTTTTATGGTGGTAAGCTGGGGTGTATGGGCAGGTAATTATGTTTGTTTTTTTCTTCTTTTTCTTTTTTATTCCTTTCCCTTTGTATAAAAAAATACTTTACATACAATATAAGAAATAATATTAATAAGTATAATATTGTTGTTGCTCTCTTCTTAATTTATATTGATTAACTAGGGCAATTTATAGTGCAATTAATTAGGTATAAATAAATTCTTTTTTATTTATAAATTATTAATTATTATAATAAACATGAATAACATAAAACTTCCTTCGTCCTTCTTCGGGTGTACAGACACCTCAATGCTATGCTGAATAATAATTAGTATAAAATTTTTCTTGCTGTTAACACTCCTTGTTTTCTTGTTTTTAATTACATTTATTATTTTATATTTATTTATTCTCCTAATGGAAGAAAGAAAGGAAAAAAATCCCTCTGTGCCTTCGCCATTTTGCTGTGGCTGAGAATTGCTGCTGCTGCTGCTGCTGCTGCTGCTGCTGCTACTGCTGCTGCTGCAGATCAGACATGAATACTCTTCTCTTATACCATTTAATGCATTTCTCTCTTTTGTTTTCTTCTTTTTTATGATTTATATTTCTTAATTGACTAAAAATAGTAAAAGAGAAGAAAGAGAGGAAAAATCTTTATAAAGAACTCGCCATCATCGAGGCTACAGGGAGGAACGAAGACTCATGCAGCAGCAGCAGCAGCAGCAGCTTGCAGCTCCTCCT